TTCTTATGGTATATCTATAACGACTTTATAGGAAGTTTTTTTGAAAGTAACTGAGCAACCGTAATAAGGTAACAAAAAAATTAAAAAAAAAAATTAATGTTATTAAAGAACAATAAAATACATAAAACCATAAGATAGTAACAGTATTAAAATTTAACCAGATGTACAGGAACAAGTTAAAGATCAATTAGATGATTTCGATTTAAATTCCATAAGAATAAAAAAATCATTTTCCTTATTTTGTATCCATTTTGCAGCTTTAATTTTGAAAAGAATTCTATATTTTAAAAGAGATACTAAAGGATTTATATGTGAAATTTTTCTTCCTTGTTTAGTTGTAGTAGGTGGTTTATCTATTCTTTTAATTACCTTTATTTAATAAGACCCTCCTATATTTTTAGAAGCTGGTTACTATGGAAACTAAGATATTATAGTGGGAGGAATTCCTACTTAAACTGAAATGAGTAGTGTTTTAGGAAATGTAGCTTCTAATATAAAATGGTAATTAGATTATTAAACTGATGTTAGAAAATGGGAAGATCTTAACTTTGACAATAGATCAATAGATAGGCATGGTGCTTATTGGTTTATTTAAAAACCAGGAGTTCCAGTCTAAAATAACAACGAATATTAATATTTAATATAAGTGCAGACTATAACAAGATGTGCAATTCCTTATTATATGAATTAAATGAATAATGCTATAATTAGAACTGAAACCGGTAAAAAAGACTTCAATATAGATTTTACTTACCATCCTTTACCTTTGACTAAAAAATTGAAAAGTGTAGAAGGAAGTGCAGACGGAATAGTAGCAGCTTTCTTTTTTTCTATAGGATTTTCTTTTATTCCTGCTTCAATTATTACTTTTATTGTAAAAGAAAGAAATGATATGGTAAAGCATTAACATTTAGTCTCTGGTGTATCGTTATTGTCATATTGGGCTGCTAATTTTACATTGGATATACTCAAGCATGTTTTGCCGGCTGTTTTTTGCATGCTTATGACTTTGGCATTTGATATAGAAGCTTTTGTTAAAGAGTAATCATGTTATTCGGCTATTTGTTTGCTTTTTATATTATATGGATGGGGTATTATACCTTTTAGTTATTTGACAAGCTTTTTTTTCAAAAATTATGGAAGTGCTTAGGTTTTTAATTTTTTCTTTCATTTTATTTTAGGTTCTATTGTGCCTTTGTAATTTATATTTTAAGAGTTATTCCTTCTACTAAAGAAACCGGATTGAGTTTGTAATGGTTTTTAAGATTAATTCCATCTTTTTGTTTTGGATATGGAGTACTTAATATTGGAAGTCGGGATTTATATGCTATAAGGAAAAAAAGAAATAAAAAGATTCTCCTTTTGATATGAATATAGCAGGTGGTGATATCATTTATTTGGTTGTTTTTGGATTCTTAAATATGGGACTTATTATTGTTTTTGAATATCTATCTCATTCAGTAATTTAAACATATATATAAATAAATAATTTTTATAAATATGTATTTTTTTTTTCAGAGCAAATTCACACAGTTAATATCAGGAGAAACTAATATCCCTTATTAACCAAAAGAATATGACGATGATGTTTAGAAAGAAATGGATATGATCCAGAACTCAAAACCAGAAGATTTTACTGTAAGAGTAAGTAATTTAAGAAAAGTATTTGTACCTGCTAAAAATAGAGTTAAGGTTGCAGTTGATAAAGTCTCTTTTGGAATTAAATAAGGAGAAGTTTTTACTTTATTGGGAGTTAATGGTGCTGGGAAAACTACTACTTTTAAAATTTTATCAGGAGAAATACAACCTACAAGTGGAGAATGTCATATAGCAGGATATTCAGTTTAGACATAATTAGAATAGGCTAGAATGAATATAGGATATTGTCCTTAATTTGATGCTTTATTAGAAAATCTTACAGCAAGGGAGCATTTGAACTTATATGCATCTATTAAAGGCATTCCTAAATCTATAAGAGCAGAGTTAGTTTAAAAAAAATTAGAAGAAATGGACTTACTTAAATTCGAAGGATATTGCGCTGGTACTTTTTCTGGAGGAAACAAGAGAAAATTATCTGTAGCTATTGCTATGATTGGAAACCCTTCAATTATATTTTTAGATGAACCTTCTACTGGAATGGACCCTGCTGCTAGATAATTTATGTGGAAAGTAATTAAAAGAATATCTACTGTAAACAAACATTCTTCCATTATCTTAACAACTCATTCAATGGAAGAAGCTGAGCAATTATCTTCTAAAATGGCTATTTAAGTAGATGGATAATTAAAATGTTTAGGCACTATTTAATAAGTTAAACATAAGTTTGGTAAAGGATATGAAGTAGAAGTTAAAATCAAAAAACCTTCAGTTGAGCATTTAAGCTCTTTATGTTAAAAAGCAGAGTTATAATTAAATGATAAAATATTACTTAAGGATTTACCTAATATTTTAAGTAAATTAAATGCTATGGAATTATAATCTTTAATTTCTGATAATCAATCAGGATCTATTATTTATAAAGTAATTTTGCATTAATATAATTTAATAAATAATATTTTTAAAAAATAGGAATTAAAAAGTCAAAAGGGTATTACTATGGAAAATTTAACTGAATTTATATATGTTGAAAATTAAGGCTTTTAAATTATGATGTTCTTAGAAAAAGTATTTATATCGTTTTAATTATTTTATTTATTTTAAATGATTAGGAATTTGGAAAATTTGATGAAATTGAACATATCGGAGATTTTTATAGATATAGAATAGAAACAAGTGTAACTATTGGTAAAATTTTTGGTTCTTTTGAAAAAAATAAAGAATAATTAAAAATATCTGAATATTCTTTGAAATAAGCTACTATTGAATAAATATTTAATTAATTTGCGGAAGGAAAAATTATGGTAAACGAACATATTAAAAAAAGTAAAACTAATATTTAAGCTTATGAATAGAAAAAAAGGTAAAGCTAAATGGAAATTAATAATTAAAATTGAAATCTAGTTTAAATATTATATATAAAAATTTAATAAAATTGAAAATAATATTAATTATATAAATTATAAGTAATATTGTTAAAATAAAATATATATTTAAATTTTATAAATTTATTTTAATAATAAATATTAACAAAAAAGTAATTTTAAATTATAATAAATATCTTAATATAAAAAATATAAAAGTATTTATATTTTTTAAGTTAATTTATATAAAAAAAAATATATAAAAAACAATAATTTAAAAAGAATAAATATTAATATATATATTAAATATATATATACATATATATATATATATTTATATATATAATATTATAAAAGCAAATGGAAGTATCTAAAAAAGATTAAATTAATAATATAAATAATTTATATAATTCAGATCAAGAAGAATAGTTAAATAATAATATAATAGAGTTTGATTTGACATAAATAGATTTTTCAAACAAAAAAAATGAAGATTCATTAAATGAATAGTAAAAAAAAAATAAAAAATTAAAAATAATAAAAAAATAAGAATAAAATAATTAAACTGAAAATAAAGATGATAATACATAATTAAAAAATAAAAGCATGAATCCATATGATTTAATAAACATAGAAGTCACATTAAATGATAATTATTATATTTTATCAAGATATTTAATAAGTAGAATGCTTACATTGATATGTGTATTTTGTTTTTATAAAAAAAAAAATATATATATATTATTTCAAAATGATATATAATAATTTCATATGTGATTTAAATTAAAATAAATTAAAAATAATAACAATATATCATTTTTATTATCTTTTTTCTGTTTAAATATAAATAAATAAAAAAATGATATATATATATATATATATATTATAATTATATTATATTATATAAATAGATTGATAAGTAAAAAGCATCATCAATAGCGAAAACTATAAAGAAAAAATTAGTAGAATTAAATATAAGTGAAATAACTTAGTAAAAATTAGAGGAAATTCTTTTTGAAACTATAATATAATAGATTAAATAAAATCCTTTAAATGTAATATAAACTTATAAAATAGTATCAGAGTAATTAAAATAAAGAATATTATATATATATATAAAAACATCTTTAAATTTATTTTTTATAGATTCTATAGAACAAGAACTCCTTTAATTATATTAATTTTAGGGGCACCGAAAATAGGTAAATCTAGTTTAGCAAACTAACTAGCGGATAAATTAAATATTTCAAATGTTTTATAAACAGACATTATATCATCAGTAATGGATTCTATGAGTAAAAATATTATTGAATAAAATAATTGGAAGTACAAAAATTATTAAAAATTTTATAAATATAATTAAAAATATATAAATATATAAATATATAAATATCTGATGAATATATAAATATTTATTTATTTAAATATTTATATTTATATATATAATTTTATATATTATTTAATAAATTTAATTATATATTTAATTTAATATAATTTTAAAGTGATATTTAGATTTCTGATGATGAAATGTTAAAATTATATTAATAAAAATGTTATTAAATAAGAAAAGGTGCAAATACAGATATTTTAAAGTGCCTTACTTAAGGAAAGCCTTTAATTGTTGAAGGTACAGAATTAATACCCTAGCTTTTTATAAAGAAACGATATCATGTTAATGGATTTAAATATGATATATAAGATGAAAAAATATAAAATATAAAATAAAATCTATAAAAGTTTATTGATGGAAAAATAGATAATAATGATTTAAATATTGAATATTAAATAGGCTCTTAATAGGATTTAGTATATTTATTTAATTAAATTAAAACATATTATTAAAATTATATATATTTTAGTTTGAAATATATTAACCAGATCCAGAAGAACAAGAAAGTTAAAAAGAAAAAGATAGAATAATATAAGCTTAGAAATACTATTAAAATATAGATTAAAGTAATTAAGGTGTAGTTTTGGCTTTTCATTTAATAATAAATAAAAAATAACATAAGTTTAATATAAAAAATTCAAGTCTAATTTAAAGTATTTAAAATTAATAATAAAGAAAAATAATGTGTGAAAAATACTTACAGAAATATTAAGCAATATAAAATTATTTAATTTAAGAATTTAATTTAACAAGAACGATTCCGATTGAAATTAATTGCCAATAATATACACTAGATATCTTATAGAAAATATTATTAAATAAAATTGTTGAATAATATCATTATTAATAATAAAAGAAGTGATTTTAATATTAAATATATATATATATATATATATATATATATATATATATATTAATATTTATTTATATAGTATTGTTTTTAAACTACTTGCATTTTTTTTAAATAAAAATATTAATAATATTTAAATTTATTATTTATTTATATTTTTTATTTGAAATTTTTTAAAAACGATGTATTTATTATCTATATTATCTTATATATTAATATAATAAAACCATTTGATTTAATTATCTATTTTTTTGCTAATAAATAAATTTTATATTAAAATGTATTCCTTTATTTATCTAAATATACCTAATCAATATATGTTTTCGTATATGAAATTTTTTTTTTCTTAAAAATAATAAAAAAGACAAATTTTTAAATATAAGTTATTTTTTTTTTTTTTTTTTTTTGAAAAAAAATAAATAAATATTTATTTCAATAAATTATTTTTCTTATTTCTTATATTTTCTAAAAAAATACTTATCCAAAATCTTAAAAATTAACCAAATTATAAATATAAATTAATAAAACTATCCAATCAAATTAAAAATCTTTTAAAAAAAAGGATTTCTTTTCTTTATATAAAAAAAAATATAAAAACCTTCCCCCCCCCCCCCAACAAAATTAAAAAAAAAAAAAATTAAAAAAAAAAATTAAAAAAAAAAAAAAACAAACATAAATAAATAAATAAAAAAATGGCCGCTGGAAAAGGAGGAAAAGGAGGTAAAGGAATGGGAAAAGTAGGTGCTAAAAGACACTCTAGAAAATCAAATAAAGCTTCAATTGAAGGAATAACAAAGCCTGCAATCAGAAGATTAGCCAGAAGAGGTGGAGTTAAGAGAATATCTTCATTTATATATGATGATTCAAGATAAGTATTAAAATCTTTCTTAGAAAACGTCGTTAGAGATGCTGTAACTTACACTGAACATGCTAGAAGAAAAACTGTTACTGCAATGGACGTTGTTTATGCACTTAAAAGATAAGGAAGAACTCTTTATGGATTTGGTGGTTGAAATAATAATTAATGAAATATAATTTTTTATATATATATATATATATACACTATTTTATTTTATTTTTTTTGGAGGGGAAATATTTAAATTTTATAAAAATTAAATTATTTTATAAATAAATTTAAAATTTCATATATATAAAAAAGAAATATATATATTTACAATCATAAAAAAAAGAACAAAAAACAAACAAATAGAAAAAAAAAAAAAAAAAATTATATATATTATTTTCTTTTTTTATTATTTAACAATTCAGGATAATGTAGTAGATAATATAATAACAATAATAACCATTCCAATAATCATTAAACAGCAATATTTCTAATTTATAAATATATATAAAAATATTTTTTTTCTTTATAACTTTTTTAGCCGATAAATGATGCTCTTTTGCTTTCTTTAAATGTTAATTAGCTTTATCTACGTTCTTTTTAGTAGAATTTACATTTAATTCAATATCATCTATCATTTCACCTTATTAGTGAACTAAAATGGCAATATCTGATAATAATTAGTGTAATTCTTAAACACTCTATATATTTATATATTGATTTATATATTTAATAAAATTAACTTTTTCTAATTTCAAAATATCTTTAAATTTATCTTAAATATCAGATACAGCATTTTATAATTAAATACTAGGCGCATTAAATAATTTTTATTAAAATAATTATGTAACTTTCTAAAAATAAAAATATAAAATAAACAAATATATATATATATATATATATATATATATATATTTATATATTTATATATATACTTCTGGATCTTCACAAATATCATTTAATTATTATTCTGTTAAATTTGCATCTAAATATTTCGTTTGTCTAGTAGTCTTTGATTTCAAATTATTTTTATAATCTAACTATGAATTTTAACATTCTTCTAATATTTATTTAACTGAAAAAGCAATTGATTTATAAAGTTATTCTTTAATTTACAAATCATTACTATTCTTTATAAGAAATTTATATTAATTTTAATAATATATATATATGAATAAAAAATATATATATTTATTTATATATATAAATAATATATATATAATTTTTTAAATAAATATATATATATATTTTATATACTGGATTATCTTTTTTAGTATTATTTATGTCTTATGATAGATTATCCATTTTTTATTTAACTTCATTACTTAATTTTCTATTGCTTGAAATAATCATTTCTATTTAATCACTTATTCCTTTTCTTAGCCTGCTCTAGTTGCTTACGAGTACTCATCTTTTAAGCGATTTATTTCTTATGTATTTATTTTTATTTTATCTAAAATAAGACGTGTTTATTTAGTTTCTTCTTAAAAATTTGCTATTAAAGTTGATTTTTCTAAATTACTATTTGAATCATCCTGTAATTGATTTTACTATTAATCATTCATTTTAATTTAATATTTTTTTAACTAACCTAATTTATCAATCATTTTTTTAAAATATATGTATATATATTTATTTATTTATATAATAAATTATGTTTTTTCTATATATATATATTTATATATATATATATAAATTTATATATTTTTTTTATATTTTTTTTATTTTTATTTTAAAATATAATTTATATAAACAAATCAATCATATTTATTAATAAATTCTTTATATTCTAAAGTATTAAAAAGTTTTATTTAATCGAGATTTTAATCATTAATATAATCACTAAGATTAATTTTAAAATGAGTACATAAAGCTTTTATATCAATATTACATTCAGGACAAAAAGCCTAAATATATTCAAGTAATTCATTATAAATTACCTCATAGTAATTACTTATATACTCAATTACTTATTTTTTTAAACTAAATCTAGTCTATTCATCATGAATAAGATAAATGTCTCTAAAAAGCAATTCTTTATTATATATATATATAAAAATATATATATAAAAAATTTGATATATTACAAAAAAATTTATATATAGAACTTTTTGTAATATTTGTATATAAATTAAGTATAAAACTAAAAGCTTTTTTCCCATTATTTTTTAGTAATTCTTACTCTTTTTTCGAAATTCTTTCATTTATAAGATTCTTGAAATTCTCCATTTTTCCTAATTTAATAATTTCCTGAAAATTCTACTTTTCAATATAATTAATAAAATCTTTAATAAAAACTTCATATTATTATAACTTTTCATCCAATTCTTTTGAATATTCTTTATATATACTAAGCTCCTATATTAAATAAACATATATATTAATCCCAAAAATACACGCTGGTATAGATTTCTTGCTTATTTTTTACTCCACAAGCTAATCTAAAGGTAAAAGGAAAAATTTTATTTACAAAAACTAGCATTTTTAATCATCTTTTAACGTATTTTCGAATATCTTTAACACCTTATCAACAAAATCGACAATACATTAATAAGCTGCAATCCTTTATATATCAAACTTAGTATTAAGTAAAATTTAAGTCTCGTTTTCTAAATTATATTTAATTAATTAATTTGATAATTAAACAAGCTTCTAAATTATAGAAATACTCTAAAAAATCATTTATTTATTAGTATTTTTATTATCATTATTTTCTTCATTTAAAACCATAAATAAATTGCTTGAAAACCTCATTTTATTATTTTCTAAGCATTCTCTAATTTAAAACACTTAAAATTTTAAATATATATAGATATATACATATATATATATATATATATATATATATATATATATATATATATATAATATATATATATATATATATATAAATACTTTAATAAAAGTCTTTTTCTACAATTAGTGATCTTTCTACTCTCGTTATAATTTCAGAAAATAATTAATCAATTTATTCAATAAATTTTATTTTTATATTCATATCATTTTAAAATATATCTATAATATAAAAAGTTAAAATATAAAATTAATTTATATATAGTATAATTTTTAAAATTGCTTTTATAAACATGATTATATATATATATATATAAAGATATATATGTATATATATATATATATATATATATATTGCATATAATTTTATTTATTTTTACATTTTTTTTTTATATATTTTATTTTTTATATAATAAATAAACCTTTTAAAAAATTTTTTTCTTTTCTTAAAACATCAAAAAAAGATAAAAACATTTCATTAAGAAATCCACTTATTTTTTGATTCATTTAATAATTAATTTTATTATTTAAAACAACTAATTATTCTTTTATAACATTTTTTCTAAACTTCAACATTTAATCTTAAAACTTCCCATAAAATTCTCCGTTTTCTTCCAGAATTTTTTAAAACTGTCCTAACATTTCCAAAGGGATCTTCTGAACATTTAAATGTATCATTTTTATCATTTTACCCATTGCCAAATTCCTAATTTCCTCAAAATTTTTCTTTAAACTTTTCCTTAAACCCTCATCTTCGCCCTAAACCTTGCCTAATTCATCATATAGATTTTTAAGGTTCTCCAAAGACTCAAATGCTTTTAAAAATTTTTCATCTACCAAATCCTAATGTAGTAAGCATTTAATTTAATCCTAATCAATATGTGAATCTTAAAAAAGTTTTTCAAGAATTTCCAAATTTTTCTAAAGTTCATTTTCTTTTTCCGTTAACTTATCAACTTTCTATATATGATTCCTATTAATCTGTTTAATTATCTATGAAAAATCTTCTATTTTATTAATTGTTTAATCTATTTCTTAAACATAATTTTATATATCAATAGAAGTCCTATATAAATCTTTATAATCATTCAAAAATGATTCACATGAATAAATAAAAATAGATTAAAAATTATCTTATATAGTTTCTTTAGATAATTATTATTATTATTAAATATTTATATTTGATTAATTTATATTAAATAAAAATTATGAAAAATCATCGTCATTTAAATTTATGTTTACAATATCATCTGTAGTTGTTTCTTTATATTAATTCATTTTAAAAAAATTAATTTATTTGTATCTTTATTTTATTTATATATATATTTAAATAAATTTAAATATATATTTATATATATATATATATTTATATTAGTTTTTTTTTAATATTATATTTTATTATTATTATCAAGGAAAGTATGAAATAATTTTATAATTAATTTTCACTTTTTATTATGAATTTTATATAAAAAATACAATAATTTAATAAATCAAATACTAATGATTTTTTTATAAGTAATTTTTTTACAATAATTTTATTAAATAATTTACTTATTTTTCATTACGTTTTTACACTTTTTTTTTATTTTATAACATTTTATATATTTCTTTTATTTATATATAATTTTTATATATTTAACAAACTTCAAAATAAAGTTTTTATAATTTAATCACGTTCTTATTTATTTTTTTGAATTTCTTTTATTTTTTTTATATAAAAGAATTAGATAAAATAATTAAAAAAAATATTTATTATCTATATAATATTTTTAAAAATTTAATATAATTTTCAATAAATTTCCTTTATAAAAATACCTTTTTATAATAAAGAATTATATTCAAATACTATAATATAATTTAGGATATTATTTTAATTAAAAAGAAAATACATTTGCTATATTATTATTTTTTCTATAAAAAATTAGTAATTTATTAATGAATTTATTGAGACAAGTTAAAATTCGTTTTAAATAAATAAAATTATCTTATTAACTTTTTTTTTATATACTCTTTCTTAATTTTTTTTTTAGTGAAAAATAAATTCCAATAAATAAAGGCTGTACGTAAATTTTACAATTAATATAATTTATTCGAAAAATATATATTCTATCAGATACTTTTTCTATATTTATAATTAAAAAAGAAGTTCATAAAATATAAAACTTTAATATATGTTTACAAAAAAAAAATAATATAACGTATGTAAATAATTATATTTATGTTTACAAATTTTTATTTAACAAAAAAAGTTTAATTTATATTTGTATTAAAAAGAAATATGAATAAAATTTATTTTAAAACTATTAAAATTATTTTTTTAATTAAACTTAAAGTCTAGATAAAGGTTAATTATAACAATGTTAATATTTAAAATTTTTTAAAAAGATATATGCAACTAAATTGAAATAATTCGAACTGATAATATAAATAACTTAAAAAAGCTGAAAAAAAACTAATATATACTTGAAATAAAAGAATACTAAAACATATATTAAAAATGAAATCTAAAGAAATGAAAGAATTAATAAAAACATATAGATTTATTATATATGAAATTTAAGAAATTTATAAAAAAACAATAAAAAAAAATATAAACAAATATTATTAAAAATAATTCAATAATTAAACAAATAAAATACTATATATGATTAAAAATATATATAAAAAAAAAACAAAAAACTACAAAAAACTACAATAAAATAAAAGAATAATTATAATAAATATAAAATTTTTTAAATATAAATAAAACATATAAAAAATCAGGCATTTAAAAAAAAAAAAATATGGAAAAAAATAATTAAGATATAAATTAAAAATAAAAATATATATAATTTTTAAAAAATTAAAAATATATAAATTATATATTATAATATTAATTAAATGTAATTAAAATTATAAAAAAAAAAATATATATTTATATTAAAATAAAAAAAAGAAAAATTATAATAATTTAATAATTAAAAATATATATATATATATTTAATATATATATATATATATATATATATATATATGTATATTTATTTCAATATTTATATGTTTTCGTCATTAAATTTTTTTTATTTAAGAAATATAAAAAAATGCAACAATGAAATTAAATAAATCAATTACAATTAATATAAATTAAAAAATAATATTTTTCTTCTGTTTTATTCATAAAAAATAATCTGGAACTCTTTTTTTTTCAATAACATCTATTTCTTATTCCGGAGAATGATCAAATTATAGTCTTTATTTATAAATAAAATAAATTAATAATAATATTAATAAATTACAATTAAATTTTCATATTTTCATCTACTTCCATTATACCTCCTAAATTACCACATCTATAGCAATAATTAGGAGCTGAAAAAATAGTTACTAAATTTTTATCATGTGTTTCAATATATCCCTTAAATATAATAAAAATATAATATAAAATATCAAATAAATAATATAAATATTTAATTATTTTTTTCAATTTTATATAATAATTTTTATAAAATTATATTCATATTAAAAACAAAAAAAGAATAAAAATAAGATATATAAAATAACTAAATAAATATTAAAATATTTATATATACTTAAATTTATTTTTTATATATTAAATTTATATATGTATTTAAAAAATATTATAAAATTGATTTTTTAAAATAATAGATAATTTATTTTAATATATTATTTGATTTGCCAAAAAATAAAATATATATGTTTCATTATTATATGTATATCTATATATGTATTTTTTTATATTTTTTATATATAATATTACTTCCATAGCTAATTAATGTGCTCTAGCAATTTTAATCAAATTATTATTATGATTGAATTATTCTGATATTTCTTATCCGAATATAAATCCTGCTCCTCTTGGAGATCTTCTCCATCCTAATATATATTTTTAAAAATTATTTTTTTAAACAATAAAATTATTATTTATTGTTTACCGCTTATATTATCTGGATCAGACCATAATAAATCGCACATAGGTCCTTCTTAAGGTATTTCTTAGACTCTATCTAATTATCTAATACTATCTAGTGTATCTAAAGAAGGTGATAATCCACCATGTAAGCAAAAAATTTTCCCTTCAACCAAACTTGTTAAAGGTAAATAATCAAAAACTTCAGTAAAATATTTCCAAACATTAGCATTTCCATATTTTCTTACAGATTCGTCATAAAAGCCATATACTTATGTAGTTGTACGACTTTCATGATTTCCTCTCGTCAAAAATATTCTATCTGAATATCTTACTTTTAATAAAAATAAAAGAGTAACGCATTCAATTGAACTGTAGCCTAATATATATATATATATATATATATATATATAATATATATATATATATATTATAATTATAATTAAATATATTATTTCTTTGTATATATTTTTCGATTTTACCTCTATCAACATAATCTCCAGTAAATAAATAATTTGTTTCTGGACATTTACCTCCTATTTTAAATATTTCCAATAGATCATATAATTATCCATGTATATCTCCACATATTGTAACTGGTGCACGAACTGGTTAAACATTTGATTCTTATGAAAGTATTTCTTTTGCCTTTTTATAATTTTTTTTAAATCAATATATATTTTATTTTTGGGCAAATATTTGATTTGATTTCGATATTTTTTTTTTTTTTAATTTTTTTTGTTATAATTTTAATTATTATTTTTATTTAAAAAAAAATAACTTTTTCACAAAGGAATTTAACTTCGGATTCTGAAAGATATTTACATTAGTAAAGTTAGGCTATTTGCTTATCTAAGTTTTAATTACTTGACATTTTTTATTTATTTTTTATGTTTATTTTTATTTATTAATTAATTAATTAATTTTTTATTTTTTTTTTCTTTATTTTTTAAATTATATATTTTATTTTTATGTTTTAAGAATCCTTAATTATTTAACTTTTATTAAAGTAAAAAAAAAAATATAGTTATTATTTAAGAAAATAATAATAACAACACAAATAAATATTAATACTAATATTTTAGTTTTATTAATAAATTTATATATATATATATATATATATAAGTATCAAATATTATTGGATTTAAAAATATAAGATTATTATTTAAATGAAATAAAAAATTATATTATTGATAATTAATATTTTGTATTTTTCTTTTATTTAAATATAATAAATTAAACTTTTGATATAATTATTTAAATATATTTATTATTATTATTATAAAACAATTCAAATTTTTTATATAAATATGAAAAATATGAACTAAGACATTGAAAATAATAGATAAAAGATTTAAATTTATTTAAAATAAAACAAAGTAAAGTAATTTAAAATATAAATAAATATTTTTATATATAAAAATTCACATAATATAATTATATATATTTAATTAAAAATATTATTTAATAATAATTCATCATTTTTATATTATATATAATGATTAATTTCTATATTTTCCTTTATTTTATAAATAAAAGTTAATAAATAATTTAAGTATTTCTAATCACAAAAAACAAAAAAAAATTAAAATAAAAATGTTTAATAATTAAAATAATTAAATAATTTAATAAAAACTAAGATAATAAATATTGAATTAATAACATTAAACTACATATAAAACAAATTCTACAAAAACATGTATAGACCCATATAGAGAAGATAGATTTACAGAAAAAAGCATAGATTATTACAAAATTAAAAACAAAAATAATTATTTTAAACACAAAAATTAATATTTTAATGAAGATAATAATTAAATAAATACTACTAAATCTAGTTTTTTACCGCAAATAATGTAATAATACAATAGCCCTCTTGTAAAAAGAAATTAAAATTGGCTTTTTTAATAAAAATTAATAGAATAAATCAAAATAAAAAAATAAAAAAATAATGATGATGATAATTAATATCAATAATAAATAATAAACTTACTTTAAAAAACAAATTAAAATTTTATTCAAATTCAAAAAAGTCCAAAACTAATGAAACATAATATAATGAATATTACTTATTTTCATAAAAATAAATGAAAAATAAAAAAAAATTACTAGTTAATAAAAAATTTAATTATTTATTATATATATTTTTATAAGAAAAAATATGTAAATTTATATATAAAATAAAAAACTATTATAAATAAATATATAAAAAATATTTATTAAAAAAAAAATATTATAACACAAATTTTCGTGTAGAGTTAAAAATTAATATAGAATTTATCCTATGATAAAGTTATTTATTTTTTGGAATAAATATGAATTATACACAAAAAAATATATACATAAATAAATTTAAAAAGAATATAAAGAAAAAGAAATAAAAATTTTTATTTTCAATATTATTATAAAGTTAAATAGTATTTTTATAATAAAAAAACTTAAATATTTTTGTTATTAATTTTTTTTCTCTTATATTATTATTATTATTATTATTATTATTATTATTATTAATTTAATTTTATTTTTTTATTTTTTTATTTATCTTTTTCTATCTTTATTATTTATAAAATAATCTATATGTTCAATATATTTAATTATAATATATTTAAATTTATTTTATATTTTAAAATTATTTTTTTTTTTCTTTTGTTTATTATTAATTTTTTATTTTTTTTTCCTTCGATTAAAATATCATTTTTTTAATTTTTTTTCTTTTAAATTAATAATTTTGATTTTTATTATTTGTAGTTTTTATTTTATTATTTTTTTTTTTACTAATTCTTTTTATTATTTTTATAATTTTTACATTTTATTTATCATTATTCTTTATTTATTCTATATTTATTATTAATATTAAAATTTATTTTTATTAATCTTTATTTATTGTTATTTTATATTTAAAAAATCTATTCTTATTTAAATTTTGTATATTTTTTTTGATTCACTTTTTTTATTATTTACTATGTTTTATTAACTATTTATTTTAGATTTATTTTATTTATTTCTTTTATTTTATTTTATACTTTATTTTATTCGATTATTTTAATTAATTCGATTATTAATTAAATTATTTTACTTTATTTGATATATTAATTATTATTATATATTTAAATCATATTTTTATATCAAAATATTTAAATTATTAATATTTATCTTATATATACTTTTAATCTATTTTATTTCTATCTTTAAACATATTATTTATAAATATTAAAAACCCTTACATATTTTTCATTAAATCATTATTATTTATATTACATTTTCTTTCTATTAAACAAAATTATACATATTTTAATGTTCTTTTATTTTTTGTAAAAAAACATTTAATTTCCTATTTAAATAAATAAAGATTATTCAAATCATAATATAAAGATAAAGATAATTATTTTTTTATAATATACTTACATATTTATTTAAAATATTATCTAATATATTTTCTTTTTAAAAAAACAATATATTTAATATAGTTTTTTTTAAAATTTAAATCCATTATAAATATTTCTTTCAAGTTTATATAAAAAAATTATAAATCTTTATTTTATATAAACATTATTATTATATTTAGAACTTTATATATATAATTTTTATTTTAAATATTAATATAAAGGAGTTAATAACTAAATAATAGGATATATATACTTAATTCAATATATTTATTTTCCTTATATAAATTTATTAAAAATAAAGCATTTATATAATATATTATCTTTATCGAAAATTTATATTAATATAAAAAGGGTCTTTAAAAATTATAATCATAATTTATTAAGAAAAATTAATAAAATTTTATTATAAATTTTAAATTATTTTATTTTCTGTAAATAAAATTCTTATTTTCATATTGAAAAGTGAAAATTACTTTTAAAAGGTTTTATAATAATACAGTTAAATATAAATATTAGCTTAAAATATTTAATATTTATTATATTTAAATTATTATTATGACCTATTTAAAATATATATAACAATTATTAAATTATATTCATAAATTATCAATAAAATTATTTAAAAGATAATTATATATATATATATATATATATATATAAAATATACATATATAATTATTTATATGTTTTTAAATATAATTATATTTTTTACTTATAAAGAGGTTATTATTTTTTATTATTATTTTAAAAAGTTTATATTATTCATCTCATAAATACATATATATATAAATATATATATACTTTAATATCATATTTATTTTTCAAATATAATTTTAGTTTTTTTAATTTAAATTATAATTTAATTATTTGTTAACTAATTAGTATTATTAATTAATTTATTAAATTTTTGATTTTTGATGATCCATATAACATATAAACTATTTTCTTACCTTATCATTTTATTCCAGTCCAGCCTTACATGATTATCTTTTAACATTAATCTTATTTTCGTCCACAATTTACTTCTTTTAATATTTCTAAGAATTTTATTAAGTATATGTAAGTTGGTTACTTTAAATAACTTTATTTGATTAATCATTTTTACAATTAAGATATTAATTCAAAAACGTATTATTTTATATTTTATTCATGTTAAATCTATCTGAATTTTTATTTTAATATTTTTGATATTAATTTTATTATATTTAAGGTTAAATTTAATTATTATAAATACTATTCCTTTATATTAAGATAAATTTTATATAAATATGTTTTTATTTTTTATTTTTTTGATACTTGTCATTTTAATTAATTTTTTTAAAATATTAATTTTCTTAATTATTTTTATAAAAAGACTAATTGATTACTATTGTTTCTTTACTTGATTATTCTTAGTTTATATTATTTTGACAATAAATAATAGATAATTAATTTCTTAAATTTTCAAAATGGAATTTCTTGCTTATTTCATTTATATTTTTTAAAAATTAATTGTTTCTAAAATTTTATTTATGGGATAATTAATCTACATGCTTTTTTGTTTTGTTTTTTTAATAAAAATAATATATTATCTAATATAATATATACATCTAAATAATCCTCATAGTGCGATTTACAAACACAACAATAATTATGCTTTTTTCCTGGTTTCGGTTATAATAATATTTATTTTTATTTTTAAATTTATTATCTTTCTTAATGATCTTTCAAATATTTTTAATTATTTTTTTCATAATAAACCTTTATTTTAATTAATTAAATATTTTATTTTTTAATTCCAAAAAAAAGAAAAAAAATATTAATGTATTTTAATAAACTCTATCAATTTCTAATATAAAATTAGGCATGTGTGGCATTCTATCATTATTTAATTTAGGTATTATACTAATCCTAATAAATAAATAAAATATTAAATATTAATATTTATAGTTAATTTATTAATAAAATAAGATTTTTAATTTAAAAAAATAAAAATTAACTTTTACTTTTAATAAGGTTCAAAATCAACAAAAACTTCTTTTAATAATTGCAGCGACTACTTATAGGTTTCATTATAAAGAAATAAATCTTTTGGTTATTTTTTTATGTACTTATTATATCCTTATTCTATCTTTTTATATAAATTAAAAAAAAAATATTAAATTTTATAAATAAATTCTTCCTTATTTTTTTTTTTTTTTTCTCAAAAAAGATTATATAAGAAAAATTATAATATTAAGTTTTTTTTGTTATTTATTACTTTTATATTTATAATGGCTTTTTGGTTATAATGTTTTATTTTTATTTATTTTTAGAGCCTTTTGGTCTTCCTTTCTTTTTTTAGCTTTATTCTATTATTTAAACATTAAAAGAATCATTCATTTTTTATATTTTAATAATTTTTTTAATATTTATTTATGTTTTATAAATTATTTTTTGTTTTATTTTTTTATTCTTTTTTGTTTTTGTTTTGTTTTGTTTTAATAATAAAATAAATATAGTTTTTTATTGATTATTCAAAACTGAATAATTTATGAGGCAAAATTAAAAAATTAAATTAATAAATATATGATGATATAGTAATTTTTAATAATAATTTATATAATTTACATAATGTTAATTAAATATAAATTAAAGAATATTATTATTTAAATTAGAATTAAATATATATTATTACTATAAAATATATAATTTTGTTTTATTTTGTTTTATTTTTTAAATAGATTATATAAAATTTTAATTTGTTTATTTAAAAAAAATACTATTAAACTTTTTTTTAATAATTTACAAATTAAATATAAATTTTTTAAATTTTTAATGTTAAATAATTGAAATATAGATTGTTAAAAATACCACTAATAATTTGATAATTATATATTATATTATATTATAAAAGTTTTAAAAATTATAAAAATATTCATATTAAAATAACTAGTTAAAATTAAATAATATTATTAAGGAAATTAAAAGAGTAATAATTTTTTTAATAGATTAAAAATGATAGTTATAATAAATTCTAAATATATTTTTAAGTCATATATTTTAAATTTTTTATTAAAATATAAGAAAAAAAAGGTTTCAACTTATTTAAATAATTAATATAAATAAATATTAAATTGTAAGTAACTTAAAGAAATATATTGAATTAAATAAAATAAAACATATATTAATATAAAAAATACTAATTTATACCTATTTAAAATAAATTTAATTTAATACTATATGAATAAATTAATAGGAATAATAAAAAATAATTTTAAATTATTTTATTTTTTAAAATTAAAAAAAAAAATTCTTTAAATAATAATAAAATAAAAAAGTTATTTTATTTATATATATTACTACTAACATAATGTTTTTTTTATATTTTTAAATAAATAAAGAATTCTATCAAATAAACATAAAGTCTTTTATCCATTTTCTCTTTACAAATTATATATTTTTTGGTTTAGTTTTTATAATAAAATTATAGAAAAAATATTATTAAAACAATATAAACAAGTAATATATATTTAATATAAATTTCTAAAAGAAAAATGAAAGAAGAATAAATATTAAAACTAATAAAAAAAAAATATGATAATTTATAATAAAATTTTATATAATATTTAATATTATCTTATAATTTTTTTTTTTTTTTTTTTTCTAATATAAAATAATTTCTTAATTTTTCTTATTTACAAAAAAATATAAAAGTTACAAGTTTTAAATTAGCATGAATGTAAATTTTCTCAAAAACCTATTAAAAATAATATATTTAAGCAGAATACATAACATGATAATATGATAGATAACCAAGAAATGGATTAATAATCAGCAACAAATGTAATAAATCATATGAATTTAGTTAAGGTATCAAAAACAAAAAATTTTATGAAACGGTTTATAAATAAAAAAAGACTCTAGTGGAATAATGTACATGTGATTTAAGTAATCATAATTAAGAAATATAATTATTAAGATAAGATATTCAAAATTTGAAATATTATATGAATTAAAATAATGAAGAAGCTACAAATTCTTCAATCCCAACCATATAAGCTTTATTAAAAAATGTAAAATTAGCAATACAAGTTTAAAATGATGAAAATAAAAAAATGTAATAATAAATAACTGAAATAAAAAAGGAAAAAGTTAATTATAACATTTAATTATTTTATGTGTTTAAAAGTTAGCTGAATTAGAAAATTAGGTTGGAAATTATACGAAATGAATTATAATTTTTTAAATAAAATATAAAATATTTTATATATATATTATATATATATATATATATATATATTAACTTAAAATTAATTAGAATTAAAAATATTATTTTTTATTAAAATAAAATTTCATTTTATTACAATTTTTTATATATTTTTCATTATATTGTTAAATTTAAATTATTCATAAATTATAATATGTATAAAATCAATATTAGAATGATTCAAATTGCATAACTGCAATTTAAAATGGAACTGAATCTTTCATAGATTTACTAGTGTTTTACATTTACAATTGGTTAAGTGTTTCAACTTTCTTATGTTATTTTGCAGTTTATGAATCTAATTATAATTTTACATATATAAATTATTTGATATTTTTATTTGAATATACTTCTTTAATCTCTTAAATAGCTATTTTATTAACTACTGACAATTACTAACATTAAATAAACTAAAAATACTATATATTTTGTAAATTTCATTTTATGTAAATTATTTATTTTTTTATTTATCTTTGTTATTTTTATTGTTATTTTTTTATTTTATTTTAATTATTATAAAAAATATATACAATTATCGTTTTTAAAATATTAAAAACCTATTTTCGTTTTATAAATATATCATATAATTTTTATTTTTATATATATTTTTATTTAAATCTTATATTACTTAATAATATTCTTTCTATAATATAAATACTTATTTATTAATTAAATTAATAACAATTTTTAAATAAAATTTATATATATTTATTTTTATAATATATTTATAGTTTATTTTTTAATTATTATTAATTTAAAAAAAAAATGATTAATTCTTTTTTTATAGCATATTTATTTTGTCTATTGTATTTTTTTAATTTTTTTATAATAATATTAAAAGGTAATAATATATAAAAAAGATTTAGATTTATAATAATTCTAAAAATAAAATCAAACATAGATTGTGTATATAATAACTAAAAAAATAAAAAAAAAAAAAATTATAATATATATATATATTTTATTAAATATTAATAAATAATATATATTTAATATTTATTTTAGTTTTTAAATTTTATAATTTATAAATTTATATTTTATCTTTATTAAAAAATTAAAGTAATAATTATATGAAAAAATACATTATTAGATTGTTCAAATATATATTTAAAACATAATAAACTTAATAAACACAAACCAAATTAAATAAATATATTTAAATATATATATATATATATATATATTTATATTTATAATAATTACAATAATGTTTTTTTTATAAATTAATTAAATTATAATTTATTAGTAAAATTTTCAAATATTTATATTTTTTAAAGAATATATCTAATCATCTTATTTTTATTAAAAGTTTTCAAAATCCGTTTTACTAAGAGAATTTAATGATTAAAAATGATTTTAATTATAGTTTAATATTTTTTATTATTATAAACATAATTTTTATTTGTGCCAATCTAATTTTTTTATATTGCTCTTAAAATAAATAAAAAAAATATGCATAGCTTTTAAAAAAAAAAAAAAAACTAAAAAAGGATGATTTAAGGCTTCTTAAACTTATATTCTTTTTTAAGGGTCTTTTTCTAATAGTTTTTCAAGAAAATCTTTACATTCGTCATCTAAATTATTATTACATTATATTTTTTATTTTATAATTAAATTAATTAACAATTATACATTATCACTAAATTAATATATATATATATAAATATAAGTTTTTAAATATATATATGTATATATATATATAAAAATATATATATATGAATATTTATTTATATATATATATTTTTATACATATATATTATTTATATTTTTAATTAGTTTTTTTTACCTTTAAAAAGGTAAAACTCCATATAATAAAAAGTAAAAAATTACTCCAATACTCCATATATCAACTGATTTTTTATAAAAATAATCTGTAAAAAACTCAGGAGCCATAAAATATATAACACCAGTATGTGTCCACATTAATTATTGTTTATTAATTGATTATTTTGCAACTGAAAAATCTATAAGAGTCACTTTTTCTTCTTTTTAATTATAAATTACATTACTAGTAGTTATATCTCTATGGCAAATATTATTTTAATGTAAAAATTATACAGCTTCTAGTAATTATTTTAGCATTCTTTTTATTTAATAAATAGATGGTTTATTATTTTAGCTAATATATTATTAGAGATTTATCCCTTTAACCTTTTTCATAATTAAATACGCAGTTTTATCATGCTTTTATATAAAAAAATCAACTTTATTAGAAATGTAAGGATGATTAATAAAATTATTCATTAAATTAGCTTCTTTTATAATCTTTTTTTAAAAAAAATCATTTATTTTATAACTATAGTTATTTAAAAACTTCAAATAAATATTCAATATCATTATATTTCATTATTTTAACACATAATTTTTCTCTACAATTTATATTTTATAAAAAATAATCATTAATCTCATTTCTTCTATAACATTTTTTAATTATAGAATGAGCTCCCTATAATAATATAAAATAAAATAAAATAAAAAAAAGTAAAATAAATTAAAATAAAATAAAATAAAATTAATATATATTTATATATATTTATATATATATATATAAATATATAAAATATATTTTTTTTCACTTCTCCTATTTTTTTCCCTATTCTATACAATTAATTAAATTTAAGTAAAATATTTGGTTTTTATATATTATTTTCGTTTTTTTTTTAACAAAATGATGCATATAGTCTATCTCTCAATTATAATGCTTAATTATTTTTTTATTCTATTTAAAAATTACTTTAATTTTGTATTTTTTATTGACTAATTTAAGTATTTTAATCGATTTAGATAAATGTTTAAGGTGAATAATATTCTTCATTTATTTATGCTATTATAGGCTTTCTTTTATGTACTATTTATAATTATGGTAGTTTACTTTGAGAACTTTCCCTTCTTTCTAATAATCCTGTTGTTTTCGATTTATTTCTATTTTAAGGATTTGTTTGATTTTCTATTTAATTATCCATATTATATATTTTTTTTAATTATATATTTTTTTTTTTTTTGATTTATATTAAAATATTATTTATATAATTAATTGGTAATTTTCATATTAAATAAATAAAAGTATTAAATTTTTTCTATTTATAGATATATTTAATAATTTTTAATTGTGAATTTTCATTATTATATAAATAAATATATTTTTATAAAAATTGCTTTATATATGTAATATTTTCAAACTTTTATAAGATTTAAATTTAGAATTTTTTTTTTTTTTTTTTTTTAATAAAATATTTATAATATAATAATATTTTTATTTTTTTTTAGTATACAAATATATATAAATTGTATTATAAAAAAAATTAAAATTATACTTTTATCATTTTTATATAAATAAAATTAAAAAACATTATATTATATACTATAATTTGTTTTTATTATTACTTAGATATAATAATAATTATACAAATATAATCTAAAGGTATCTTAGAAAAATATTTTAGTAAATAATTCATATAATATTACTTAATTAATAAATTACTTGTAAAAATTATAATAATATTCCATTTTTTTAAAAAAAATATATCAAAAGTATCTTTATTTTAAAAAAATAACATTAAAAATAAAAATAAATATTAAAAAATTATATTAAAAAATTGTAAAAAAAATACTACATATAATAAACAAAAAATATAAAAGATGAATTAATAATTCATAAACTAATAAGAAATATAAATACATAACAATTTAATATAAAACGAAAAGAAAACAACAAAACTATTCAAAAGTCTACTCCTATAATTTAAAATATGCAAATTTTTAATATTATTATTAAACATATTATTTAGTATTTTATATATTCTTCTATATTAAATCGGCTGTAATTAACCTTATCTCTAAAAGCTTTCATTTAGTGCTATTACTATTTTTTTATTTCAAACAATATATTATATTTTAATAATATGGCCTTCCTTAAATAAAAAAAATGCTTTTTTTTAGCCGAAGAACTAAATGAGACTATATTTGATGGACAAGAAGATTTTTTCGAAAATATGTCAAAAGCATAATAATTAAAAAAATAAAAATTCTAAAAAGATTAATTAATAATTATTTCTGTTATTATAACTTTATATATAAAACTGTAGATTTAATCATTACAATAAGTAATATAGGATTAATAATTACAATTTTTATATTTTTTTCGTAAAATAATACTTTTATATTATGTTCTATAATAATTAGATTTCTCATATTTTTGATAGTAAATGTATCATTTCTTCTTGGATAATATTTTTTACAACACTCCTATTGGTAATTGTGTATAATAAATAATTATCAGTAATAATTTTGACAATAATATGTATTTTATTTATAAATAATTAAATAATTATTTAATAAAATAATTATATATATATTTTTTAAATATAAATATATATATATATATATATATTTATATTTATTTAAATTAAAAAGTTTCTCCTATAGTTATTTGCTATATTCCTATTAAAATATATTCCTTTGATAAAGAAATTGCAAGAACTAATATCAAAATTTTAAAGTAATTAGTATAAATAAAATACAAACCCGAATCAATTTAAGGAGATGAACATTAATGCATTATATGTAGAACATAATATAAATTAAACTAAAAAATCATAGTTTTACCTTGTAGTATTTATCACCATTTTCACTATTATTGTATTGAAAAATGGTTTAAAATTTCACAATCTTGTCCTATGTGTAGGAAATAATTAACAAGTTCGTATTTAATAGAAAAATAAAATTAAGAGTAAATATAATTAAATAGATAATATAATGAAGTTTAATAAAATAATTGAATATTATTAATTTTATATATATATATGTATATATTTTATATATTTATTTAACATTTTTTTAATTTATATATAATAAATTAATATCTTATTTTTTATATTTTTTTCTATTAAAAAATACCTATTTATTCACAAAAAAACAAAGAAAATTTTAAATAGAATTTAGTTTTTATAACAATTTTAAATAAACTATATAAATAAAAGTATATTAATAAATATTTTTTATAAGAATTAGTAAAATGAATTATTAGGATTAATTCAATAAAACTACAAATATTATTATAAAAAAATTTTATAAATTAATTATATAAATTTATATGTAAATAATTTATTTTTGTATATTTCATAATTTATTTTTGAATAAATAAAATAAAATTAATTTAATTTTAAAATATATGAATAGTGAGTGAATAGAGTGTTTTTGTTTAATCAATAAACAAATTATGAAAATATAAAAAATTGAATAGTTTTGTTTTTGAAAATTAGATATAATATAATTATATTAATTTTTTAGTAAAAAACCATATAATAAAAAAAAGAAGAATATCATTTTTTTCTCAATATTTTTAAAACTATTATATAAATATAATTTTTATTTATTATTTTTTCTATTATATAAAATAAAAAAATTTTATTGTATTATATATCTATAATTAATATTATTAATATTTACAAAATAAAAATATCTTTTATTTAATAAATATAATAATAATTATAATATAATATAAATTTCAAAATAGTATAATAATCTAAAACTCATATATAAATTATAAAAAATACTTATTTATTTTAATATATATAACTTTATAATTAATTAATTTATGTATTTTTATGATAATTATTATATATTTGTCATTATTCACTTTTATCTAAAACTATAAAAACCTTATTATTTTTCCTAATCATTATCATTTTCATTTGATGTTTTAGACTAACTTCGTTTAAAATACATAGTATTATTGCATTGTTTTTTTTAAAACTTATCTTAAGTATGTTAAATATTAATATTATTAATTGGACTTTTTTATATTTTTTAAGCAATCAAAAATGGGGGGGTGTCACATTTTATTTTTTAAAGAATTTCGATATTACTATTAAAATAATTTTAAGAAAAAACTGATTTTTTTGTTGTTTTCTTCCTATTATTAATTAATCTATTATTTTAAGTTTAAGTAATCAATTATTAAGAAGTACAAGGATGTTCTGATTATTATATTAAACTATTTTTATAATCAAAATCTTATTTTTCTAACTTTTATAAAATTGAGACCCATTAGTTTAAATAAATATCAAAATAATCTTTATCTTTTTCAATTTGTTCATAAGATAGTTTATAAGCAATATCTTTTTCGTCAATTTTTTACCTAAAACTTTATTCTTAAAAATTCGCATTTTATTTATTCTTTTAAATTTACGAATATTCATTATTATCTAGTCCAGTTAAATTATTATATTCGTAAATAATTTAGTCTTAATAATTATAAATAATAAATTACATAAAAATAGCTCCTCCTAACCCTTATACAGAGAAAATAATTAAAGGATAATATACCAAAAAGATAAAAATCACGAATAAAATTTTTAAAAAGATATCAATTTTTTCGTCTTTAAAACTTATAATTATCAAATTTTCTTCTGTTTTTAATTAAATAATTTTATTCTTTTTATATAATTCTGAGTTTTCTAAAGCCTTCTTTTACTCTCCAATAATACTATAATAACATTATTTATTTAATAAATCAATTTTTTAATTAGAGCAAAGCCATATAGGTATTTTTTATTTATTTTTTTAATCAAAATAGGGATATATTAATTAATTTATTAAATTTTAGTATTAAGAGTATGGACTTTTTGTATTTACTTCGCAAGAAAATGCTATAGTATTTTAATTTATTTATAATTAATATAATGTATAAAAATAGTTATTTCGTAATTTATATATATATTTTCCTTACACTTAGCAATTTTAAACGAAATTCCATTAATGTTAAAACGAAGAATGAAAAAGTTAAAAATAGAAAAAGAAAAAAGCTGGCAAGAGTAAAAAGATTCCAAAAAAGGATAATTAATTTCTCCTTTTATTAATTTTCCAAATTTTTTGTTACCAAGCATATCTATATATGAGATAATAATAGAAAGGAAATATAGGAAATAAAATAAAGGCTAGTTTAAATTGTTTAGAAATTTTAAAATATAAATCATTGTTGTTATTATTTCAAATAAAGCTAAATTTAGAAATTATACCAAATAAAAATGCAATTTTTATAAAATGTCGAATTGGGATGAATTATAGGGATTTTTAACTTTTTTTACAAAGGATTTTTTATTTATTTTCGTAAAAAATTTTAGATTTTGTATATTTAGTTTTTTTTTTTTATTATTATTATTATTATTAATTTTATTCCATCTTTTTTTTTATTGTGAATGCCTTTTTTCGATTATTATATAAATAATAAATTTATATATATCAGTATTTATATATATATTTTAATTTTTTTTACTTTAATTTTATATTATTATATCAATTCAATTTAATAATAATAACAGAAATATCTCAAAAAT